AACCTTCCACATCCTGTGTTTGTACAGTTCATTTTTGGACCTAAACACAAGACTTTACGTTTATTTCTATTAACTTTTTTATGTTTAATTCAGTCCATTGTTCCAGATGATTCTGTCATCGGATGTATTAAATATTATCAACCCCCACGGTTTCTTGGCATTCTCAATCGGATCAACAAGTCACCATCACTAATGCCAATGCTCAGCAGGCCACGGTTAAAAATAAACTTTCGAGGAAAACTTTATTCTTGCAAGCTTATGCTGGTAGAATATTCATCAGCAATCTTTGGGTACAATTCTCAAATAGCTAAATAATCCTTCTAGGGTTATGTCATCTAATATCTATTTCTCTGCATAGCTGCAGGAGAACACCAGACTATGCAATTCTGATGTCTAGGAGAGTACTCTTGCTCTTTCTGAAGCCTGGAGATTAGAATAGGGCTTCTCAAACTCTGCACTACTGATATTTTGGGTTGGATAATTCATTGTTGGGAGAGGGGGCTGTCCTGTATGTTGTAGGATGTTTAGCCGCATTCCCGGCTTCTACGCAGTACAAGGCAGAACCCCCCACCCACTGCAGTTATGACAATAAAAAATGTCTCTAGACATAGCCAAATGTCTCTTGGGGGGCAAAATTGCCCCCTCTCATTAATAACCATTGTTCTAGACTCTACATTCCTGCAATCTGTTTTCTTTGAGCCCCCACTCCCAATAACCTCCAATCTAATCTAGTAACCCAACCCACCTTTTATGGTTTTTTTTGACCTTGTCATAGGTGTAGCTATGAATGAACTATTCGTATATAGCATCAAAACAGTTCTATATCAGAAATTAGATATGTAGGTATATTAAAATGAGATATAAAAATCATCAGAGAAATAATGCTACAAATGGGGAGGGATAATATAATCTTAAAATTTAGAGTTGAGATTACATTAATCCTTAGGGTAAAACAATTATAAGAAAATTGAACCTTCAATAGGAATTATATGATTTAAAAGGTAATATATAAGAATGTTTGTACCTGGATACCCATCCAAGTATTATTTGATACAGTGAAAAATGGAAACAGACTACATTTTTGGCAATGTGAGATAAATAATTTATTGAATATTGATCACACAGAATATTAGGCAGTGATCAAAATGACATTTTTTTTTTTTTTTTTTTTTTTTTTTTTTTTTTTGAGACAGAGTCTCACTCTGTTGCCCTGGCTAGAGTGAGTGCCGTGGCGTCAGCCTAGCTTACAGCAACCTCACACTCCTGGGCTCGAGCAATCCTTCTGCCTCAGCCTCCCGAGTAGCTGGGACTACAGAGGCATGTGCCACCATGCCCGGCTAATTTTTTCTATATATTTTTAGTTGTCCGATTAATTTATTTCTATTTTTAGTAGAGACGGGGTCTCGCTCTTGCTCAGGCTGGTTTCGAACTTCTGAGCTCAAACAATCCGCCCGCCTCAGCCTCCCAAGAGAGCTAGGATTACAGGCGTGAGCCACCGCGCCCGGCAAAATGACATGTTTTTAACACATTAATAACATGCGTAAATGTTCACAATCTAATGCTGTGAAAAAAGCAATATGTTATATATGCAGTATAGATACCAAGTTTTCAAAGAAAATACAGTTATCCCTTGGTATCGGTGGGGGATTGGTCCTAGGATACCCCATAGATAAAAAAATCCACAGATGCTCAAGTCTCTGATATGAAATGAGGTAATATTTGCATAAACCTATGCCTGTCTTCTTGTATGCTTTAAATCATCTCTAGATTACACATAATACCTAATATAATGCCTACACATCACTTCACTCACATGGATTCAGTGTAGTACGCAGGGTGCAGCAAATTCAAGTTTTGCTTTTTGGAACTTTGTGGAATTTTTTTTCTGAATATTTTCAATCTGCAGTTGGTTGAATCCTTGGATGTGGAACCTACTGATACAGAGGGCCAACTACATGTGCATAGAAAAGAGATTATGAAAATATTAATAGTGGTTATGGGATTATGGTCTAATTATATATGGTTTTAATAGTCTTCTTTATAGTTTTTATGTTCCCAAAATTTTCTTAATGAACTGATATTGCTTTTGTAAGTTTTGTGTGCACAAGGGGTGCTGGGGGCATGTGATCCAAATTCCCTTAGGTTAGTGAGCATTGGCTAGGGTTCCTCATGTGTTTACAAAAGAGTGTGCCAGTAAGGAAAGTTGCTTCAGAGAGGGTGCATGAGGAAAGAAGACAATATTTGTAGATTGGGTCACTCGGTCCTCTCGGGGGAAAAAAAATCTGTGTAATATTTTTCATAAGATTAGTTTAATGTTCCAGCAAAATCCTGTTCCTCTAGGTCAGTGCTTCTCGGACTTTAGAATGCTGAAGAATCACCTTGAGCTTACCTATTAAACACAGTTTCCTGGCTCCAACTCCCAAGATTTTGATTGTGCAAGTCTGGTATGGGGCTAAGAAATCTTCACTTTGAACAGGGTCCTCTGATGATTTACTCTGAGATACAGGTGGTCCATGGACCACATTTTAAGAAGCACTGCTATAAGAAGTCATGTGGTTTGATTTGGATTTTTCCTGCCTTTACTTTTGATAATTGCTTCCCGAATATGCACTAGAGATAGTTGTTATAGCCTTTCAGTGGTGTTCTGGTAAACTGGCCCTTAAAAAAAATAAAATCCAATTTATTGCACTTGCCAATTACTATGTTACAAATACTCACACCACGGCAATTTCAAGCTACCAATGGTTTAACCACCAGCTCACAAAATTCTTGAAAGTTTAACAATTGGTTCTTAGAAGCTGGTACAAGCTGGTTTCAGCACTGTATGGTATATATTTTATTTAAGTGCTTTAAATACTTTGAAAAAGAGATATGTTAATAAAAACTGTTATTATACATATGACAGCTAGGATGAAACAAGTAAGCAATAGGATGCTTTGAATCATGTCAAGGAAATTTCAAAATGTATCAGGACAAAAGGACAACAATTACTTTGATCACTATTTCTCACTTTATTCTATGTTTTTTCCATTGCTACACCATGAAGAGTGATACACTTGCTGAGTTCTTTAAGGCTGTGAATTGGCTTCCTATGGATGGAGAACCAAGGATTGGGGCTTGAGGGTTGGGAGCAATGCCAGATGTTCAGCCTCCATCTCCACCATCCATGGCCCTTGGTCCCTGGGCTGCTGACATGCCCTTGGTCATTAATTCTGCAACACCCAACCATAAAATCAACTCCCCAGCGTCTTCCCCCAGCACATGATTGAGACAATGTTGTCTCTAGGAAACTCATATCAGATGTGTTTTATGTGTTCACGTGTGGGAAGTGGCCTAAATGGAGGCTAAATAGTACAGTTCTTTCACTATTTTGACCAGACATATTTTAAGAAAATTGGACCTGAAGCCTATATAGCCAGCTGAGGTGAATTTACAGCCCTACTTTTAAGAACAAAACTCCCTCAGGCACCTGCTTCCTAAAGGCAAAACCAGAAAGGAAATGAACTCTTGCTTAAAGACAACCCACCTTATTTTATGGGTTATCAATTTTCTAGCTGGCATACAGTTTCCCAGCTACTAAGAGTTTTTTTCCCCCATCCCAAGCAAGCACAGAGCTACAAAAAATGTCAAGTCTGCATTCTAGCAAACAGCTCAGTTTCCTGAAGATGAAGCAGGCTGAACCTCAGTAAGAGAAGTCAAGGGAGGCATGAAGATCTGTGATGGCTCACCAACCAGATGTCTTTGCCAATATCTGCATTACAATCTTAGCCTGAATTATGTTTCACGTTACAGGATTACTGACTCTTGGGTTATGATGGAGAATATCTTTCTTGTCTTTGGGGTAGCTCTGTCAGATGAACAGTCAACAACAATGTAAAACACTTGATTTCCTTTTAACAGCTCCAGTGACCTTAGAACTGAGCTTATCAACCTCTCAAAAACAAGAAAGGACTAAATAGCTTTTTTTTCCCTTGCTATTGGGAGGGATAAGTCAGCCTTCTCAGTGGGAATAGACTACAAGGTAGAGGTCAAAGGTTAACAGTAGATACTCTTAGACTGCTGTGTGCTAGAAAACACAATGAATAGATATGATTTCTTAGTACGCATCCTACAGTAATAAAATAAGAACTGACTCCATAAAAACCATAAGAACTAATGTAACTAATAAGCAAGTGGAAGGTTATACAAATCTACCTATACGATGAAGTCAGAATCAAATACTTAAAATTATATGCTAGTTTTGTCACAATCTCTGTCTTTTTCCAAGCTCTGTTTAGTTGTGAAAGCTGGGAATTTCCAGGAGAAATATGAATATTCAATTACACGTTTGAAAATCAGACATTTACACATCCACTTGCGAGAAGTGCCAGAGTTAACATCAAAGATATGTGAAGGACCTCTTGTCCAAATGGAACATTAAGCTCCTCAAACAGGAGAACTCCGCCCTTGCAAACTGTCATTATTTCAGCAAATGAATGTGGCCCTTTAACAGACGGACAACATATTTTTCAGCTTGCTGATAGTTTAACAAAAGACAGTGGCTTTTTAAAAATGAAGGACGTGTACTTCTCAAATTACAGTACCTAAATGGATTGAGCAGAATAAAATTAAGAAGGCATACAAAGGCTTGACAAATATTAGGAACAGACTATGGGAATTTGATAGTTCTAAACACCAATATCAAAATGACTTTTCTATTTAAAAAAAAACTCATCATTTAAACCATAGAGAAAACATGCATTGTTCTATTCAAAACTAGGGGTAGTGTATTATGGAATTAGAAATACTAATATAATAAAAACATGAAGTTAATTTCTTCTCTAAATATAATAAAAATTCCCCAGAAAGGGAGATTTCTTTTGTAACAGATGCCTTTCCTTTTGTATCAGTCGACCTCTGTGCTTCTTTAAATAAAATTTCTCCAGTTGATTGTTGCAATATCCAAATTAAACACAGAACGTGGGCTCAAACAAAATAAGGGCGTTTGCACGTCTGCTTACCTTTCGCGCTCTTCTTTCATTCTCTCAAGCTCCTCTTCTCTCAGGCCACCACGCTTCAGAGTAGCTTTCTGCTCACTCTTCTCACCCTTATCCTCTTTCTTCTTTCCAAACCTGATGGAACAAGCAGGACGAGGTGGTTGTTAATAATCATGTTGTTTTTGTGGTAAAGGTAAGATGTTTCTGGGATGAATTCATTAAGCCACAATTCTCTATTCTAAGTAACACAAGATCGTTTTGCAAAAAATTTAAGTAAAATAAGATAACGAAAGCAGAAACATAATGGTTACTGAATTTCCCTTTTTCCCTCTTCTTTCTTTTTTTCCTTCTTTTTACTCCTATTTGTTATGCATCAAGCAAAATATCATGTGCTTTTATGGAATTCTGAAGACGACAGAAACATGGGCTGGATTTGTGATTCTTCTATTATTCTGGTTGCTTAGAGTACAGGACTTTCTTCAAAATTTACACGTCGGGTCCTGGTGTGAAGAGATTCTGATTCCCCGTGTACGTGTCGGTAGGAAGAAGACCAGCCTGAGCATGTATAATTTGAAAGTCTCCCCAGGTTATTTAGATAGATAGGTAGATAGATAGACAGACGGACAGATAGTCAAAATGTTGAAGTATTAATTCAATAGAGAGTGAAAAACTGAATGATTACCATTAATATATAACTAGAAACTGAACAATTTAAAAAGGCCTCCTGAGCTCTAGTGTCATTGACATTTAAGGTTAAACTCATGGGATTATATAATGATAGTGCCACAGGGACCTCACAGAACATTTAGTTCAACACTTCATTTTACCAATGAAGAACCAAAAGCTCTGAGAGGCTTTGAGCTTTGACCACGACCTCCCAACAGGGTCAGTGCAGGGCTGAGATTAGAATCTGTCGGGGCTTCCGCGGGACTCCTGCCTTCACGCACACTCACTCTCTAGCGTAGGCCCCGGCTTCCCAAGGCGGCCCCATTAGTGTGCTCTGAGCACTCCTGGCTGCCTGGCATATCTGTAGTTAAATGTGCACAGTGGCAATTATGATGCTTTACAAGAACACTGTGTCTCCTTAGCACTTTTAGGAAAGTGAAAACTGCACATTTGAAATTAAAAAGAAAAAGAAGATGCAATTAAATTATTACTAGGACATATTCTTATATGACAGGCATTTTTCCCAATAGACATTTTCTCCAGATGCAATAGTCCATGGTGTTAATACCAGCACACATGAAGAAAGAAAACAACGTGATGCTCTACTAATAACCTGGGGAAAAAGTCACGCAATTATGCATATTGTTCACTTAAGGCAAAGATTCCTCTTAAATCTACGGAAATCCCATTTATTCCTTGTTTCTTTACTAAATAGTAGTAAATTTTAACCATGTATGTATGTGTATGTGTGTGTGTGTATGTTTGTATGTCTATAGCTCTAGCCTTATCTCTCTCTCCATTCATCCATCCATCCATCTATCCATCCTGGGGAGATTTTTCAAATTCCACATGCTCAGGTCTTGTTTCCCTCCTCCCACCTGTATCTCCTCCCAACATATACACAGAGAATCAGGATTTCCTCACATGAGGACCAGACATATCAATTTTGAAGAAAGTCCTACACTCTAAGCAACCAGAATAATGAATCACAAAATAAGCTCATGTTTCTGTCTTCTTTGGCATTCCATAAAAATGGGTATACATTTGTACCTTTCTGGATTACGTTTCAATCCATAGCAGAGGTTGTCAGTCAAGTGGCAGCTCTGAGTGTCACACCTGAAGATGGCATTGCAAATATTCACAATTGTGCTTCATCACAGTACAGACTACATCCTGCTTTCCAGAGAAGCCTCCAGTCTTGACTGTTCTGCATAATTCTCAATTGCCAATTTCAATTGCAAGTCTTCTTTCCTGAACCTTCTCCCTCCCCACTGCCATCTCTCCATCTACCTCTATTCTTACTGCAATTTTCTTGTTGTATCCAGTCTAGTTTTGGGCTGACCAACTGTCAGTTTTAACTCCATTATCCCCCGGTCCTTTTTTGGGTCTCTTTCTCTCTTTCCTTCCCCTCTTTCTGAATCCATTCCTTTTTTTAAGTGAAGAAATGACTTTATATCACTTATAGAATTAGGGAAGAGAGAAAAATACAGGCAAAAATATAAGAACATTAATTTTGAAATGCAATTCAGATTTTCTGATATATTCAAGACCTCTCTTTAGCCTACAAAGCAGGAGATACCTAAATCATGTTTCCATTAAGATGTTCTTTAGCATTTCAGATCCATGTAGAAGAGTCTTAGGATCAGCCTCATTCCTCTAAGTATGTTTATGTGAGAAGTTAATGCCTTAGTATATCAGTTAAATAGATAATTTTCCCTTAAAATATCAAATTGTGGGAAGTCAGGGTAGAAATCATGCTTAAGGAAGTTGATGAGGGCAAAAACGTTGCCAAAAGCTTTATAGCTACTAGGCTTATTTTTTTCCACGTCCACATACTTTAGTCTAAATTTGGAAGCTTTGGATTTTCTGAGATGAAAATAGTTTTGTTTTTGAAGGGCAAAACTAACCCAATCCCAAGTCCACCTCGATCTTTATTACCACACCCAATAAATCATCTTTCCTTCTGGCAGCTAAAATGTCTCATTTGTACTACAGTTAGAGAATAGCTTATGCTTCCATCATAGTGGAATATGTTTGGTAAAGAAAATGTTAGTTTTAAGTAAATTCTGCAAAGTATTTTCTTCTTAGGAGGAACTGTCAATAATAGTGAAATCAACCAGTTCCACAGATATTATAAATGTTTTGATTTAGAGTTCATGATCCTTTATTAAAGTTTCCAGTAAGAAGGGCAGAAATAGCTGTGAAATTCATTTTATTAGAGAAAACGATTACAAATTACCTTATTTGTAAAGTTTGGGTAGGTTCGAGAAAAGCATTATAAAATGGTAATCTTCAAAAGGACTCTCGCATTGTTAAGACAAGGAAATTGAGACCCAGAGAAGTTAATTGCATTTTATTTATTAACACACTGAGTTCTTTTTCCAGTTTTGCAATCAGACAACTTAATTATCAGTGGTGGTAGTAGTGAGGATGGAGGGAGTTAGGAGGAAAGCATCAACTTGGTGACTTTTACAAGCCTTTGTTTTCCTTCCTATAGCAGTTTTTTTGGGGGTCATTTCACAGCCACCCTTACTTTCACTGAGATACAGAAAGAGAGGTTGGGGTGGTTTATCTACCCATTAGCTATTTTTGTGAGAAAAGTCATGAGGACCCCGTATGGCTAAAATTACTGCTTTGCATTCTAGGGTTTCAAATATCCAGTGCATTCCAGGCCTCCCATTATCTGTTACCTTAGAAATTTGAGAGTTGGCCATTCTGGGCTAGGTGCCTTAAGGAAATTGCTTAGAGGTCAACCTTGTTTTATATAAAAGATATTTTCCTGAAAATTTCTGTGCAAACATATGGTTTTAATCAATAAAATCTTATTTTACATGTACCTAGGAAGCCTGTTTAAAGAATCTTATGATGGATCTTTTTGTAAAGTGGAAAAATCACCTTTCAACATACCCTTTATGTAAATTTAGATGTTCATGAATTATAAGTTTGCTTAAAACACCTGTCCACTTTTCTGTTTATTTCCATAGAGGTTATATGAAACAGCTTCACGGAAAACTTTCTTTCTTTCTCTTTCTGTCTTTCTTTCTTTCTTCCTTTCTTTTATTTAAAAAATATTTATTAGGCATCTACTATGTGTTGGATATTGTCATAATCACTTGATATAAATTGATATTATGCTGTAATACAAAACCACACATTATCCTCATGGAATTTACATTCTTATTGAGGAGACAGTCACCAAACAAGTATAAACCCGTAATCGTCAGTTGTGAAAAGTGCTGTGAAGGCTGCCGGGAGAGACAATAATAGGAAATTGATTGATCGGGGAAGGCCTCAGTGAAGAAATGGCATTTAAGCTGAGAATATAAGAACGAGAGGTTCCAGATAAGCAAAGAGTGGAAGAAAAGCCTTGTGGGTGGAAGAAACAGCACGTGCCAAGAACACGGGTTTGGCTGGCGCATTCCAAGCAATAAAAGAAGAAGGCCAGGGTGGCTGAAGCCAGGAGAGCAGAGGAGAGACGCTGCCAGGATATGGGCAGAAAAGCCATGAGCCCAGGTCTGAGGGAAGTGTGGGGTTTGGTCTGCAGTCATTGCTTAGTCATTGAAGGCACAGAGAAGCCAGGTGAAGAAATTGGCAGATTTCAGGAGTTGGTAGAGGGGAAACAGGAGTGACCAAGTCATTTGAGCAGAAGTGATACAATGTGGTAAGTATTTTTAAAAGACTACCCTGATTGCCGAAGTAACCAACAACAAGTAAAAGCAGAATAATAAATAAAACCAGTAAAGTTGGCTGGGGATGACTGCGGAAGTGTGGACGAGAGATGATGGGGGCTTGGACTAGAGAAGAGAGAGTGATTTGGAAATGGGGAGCCCATGGAGATGTAGCGAAAGTGCAACTTACACCAGGATTGTTTCAGTACGCCTTTGGGACATCCAAGTGAATGGGCCCACGCCCAGGTCCTACGGAACTGTGACATTTAAAGGTTGAATACAGGAAGGAGGTGGTGGTGGACAAAAGAGATAGAGAAAGAACAGCCAGGAGACAGAAAGAAAATCAAGAGAATCTGAGAAGAGTGTAAGGAGGATGTGGTCAGTGGCTGGGAACCCTGCTCAGAGTCCAGCTAGGTGGGGACTGAAGGGTGTTCATTGGATTTGTCAACATAAAGGTGTTCAAAGCAAGGGACAGCAGAGTGGCATGAGCAGAAGTCAAAGGGGCGTGATGGCAAGAGTGAATGGCACGTAAGTATATTAATATAAAAGTCTGTGTCTCTGCAACCATTTCAAGAAGTTGGCTGGGAGGGTGGCCGCTGGAGGTGTGGCGGCACGCTGACGAGGGAGGTTTTCAATTTGGCTTATACCAGAGAACCTCTATTTGCTGATAGAAAAAAGGCAAATCCCAGAGAGAGTGAGACGCTGGAGATGGAGGAAGGAGAAGAATAAACTTCTTTTCTTTTTTATGTGGTAAGATATACATAAATAAAATGTACCATTTTAACTGTTTTTAAGTATGTA